ACAACCTGCAGATACTCAAAAATTGTTGTGAAGGGAAGTTTTAACAAGTTGCCTCTTATGACTGCCTGCAATAGGATATAGTAAAAGATTCAGTCTTGTTAGTCCCAATAAATCACAAGCACAAAAAAAAAATCACAAGAATAGTCACAATCCTTACCCCCCGATTATCCCTGATTGCACCCTTGACTGTTATTGCATGTATTGGATTCACTGAGATGTAGAATGAAAGATTATATTGTCAAATCAATTAGAAATTTAGTCATGCTAACAAGAGAGGACATGCATATATTAAATAGAATTTTTCTAGGTAGGGACATAGTTCACAATCTACTCCCAACATCAATATAAGCATTCACTGTTTTACACTGTAAAAGGGACATCCATCATCAGAACAAAAGACCCAATACATCCTTTCAAAAAATTCATGCAAAAGAATATTAATATTGTGTAGTCAGTTATAATTTATAAATCGACTAATAACAAAGAGAAATACTGACCCGTAATATTTGATTCATCAGTAACTTCAAAACATTCAAGTAATGGATCGTCAGGAAGAGACCGACAATATGGTTGGCAAGTTCCTCTGCAAGAAACATCTACATTTAATCCCAAAAAAATAATGGAACATATTATTAGTCAACAATTTTGTAGTCTAAATAAACAAGTCACCTCCGATGAAGAAATACTACAGCATAACCAGCCTTCAAAAAATATCTGTGATTTCATAATTTAACTTCAATATGAGAAAAAAAAAAGTAATAATAAAAGCATGAAAACAATCTAATAGAATCAAATTATGATGTTGTGTACTCTGTGGATGCAGCCCCTCTATGACCCGAGCTGAAGTTGTCAATGTACCGAACACATCTTTGTTCCAAAGGAACAGTTGTGCCGCCAGATGTCACGCACACAACTCGATTGGCCTCTCCATTACCTAATGGCACATGATTCTTTTGCATAAATTCTTCTAATTTTCTTTTTATTTCAGCGGAATCCTTTAAAGGAGGGGCTGAATCAAAGAAAGACTTGATATCTGCATAAGATGTTTCTCCAGAAGATAGTGAACTATTTGTCGCATCCATAGTGAAACCGGTAGCCTTTTTAACAACCAAATCACGAATCGTAACGATTCACAAAGGTTAATCTGCAAAGGGATTGTTGTATCAATATATGAAGTAAGAAAGAGAAAAATAGATAAAACTCATGTGTGAACGCCTAAAACTAAATGTATTTGATAATCCATTTGAGTTAGTAGTACTAGTTCACTGATAAAGAATGCAGTAGAGCACAAAATTGTCTCGGATTCTTGGGCTTCCAATTATTGCAAATTCAATCTTTTCCTAACATCAATGCCCGACTGGATCGAGTTCCAATCCCATTACTCCATCAGGTGAATCAAATTCAATACCCATATTTTTGTAAAGTCGCCAATATTCATACCCAGGCATTAAATCTTGTTAAAACTAACAGAGTTTGAGAAAAAAAATAAAAAAAAGATATATTCATAATTTAAATAAATGATATATACTACAGATAAAACAATAAATAAAGAAAGATAAGAAAAACAAGAATAGCACAAAAAAGGAAAATGCAGAAAAATACACATTCCTTCTCATACATTGTTGATTGTTCTTGCAGATATAAAATATATTTAATGAGTAATAAAATATAAATTTCAAAATAAATAATAAACCAAAAAAANAAGGCCAAAAAAAAAAAAAAACTTGAAAGACTCGTCCAACACAAACACACACTTTTTTACAAACACATACCTGCGAGCTCGATCATACAGAGGAGCTTGATCATACTAATTAGTTTGCTTGAGAAACGACCAACAGGTTATTGAGCCAAAAAGCTCCACAGAGCGAAAGTATGGTACTTCTGCGGAATTAAGATGCTATCTAATATGTACTTTCTACGGCTATTGCTTAACAATTCCCCACCCTACTTAAATAGTCTAAGAATTAAAAGCTGGAAAGCCAAAGTGACGCTGCTGAGCTATTCGGATTTAGATGGATAGAGGGAATTTCATCACTATACTAAGCCACCATCTCTCCAGTGACTCTTCTTCTACGATTCTTGCTGTGCCAGAGACATCATGACCTACGGTTCTCGGTAGGGATATATGCCAGAACCAAACCGACAAATTACGCGAGGGCTTCTGATCGGAAATGCATGGTGATGACATAATCAAATTTGGGTATAATTTCCCTGTAGGTACCCCGCAGAAGGAAAAAAAAATAAATCAAGAAAATCAAGAACAATCAGCAGCAAAAGTACCTATCTTTCAGTGGCTAGGGCCTTGGGCTTTTGAAGATTGGAGCTTTTCTCAAGAACTTCTGCTGGGAATCCACAGAATAATGGCGGGGCTTGTGGCGATCAGTTCAACAGCTCGTATTTGCAGAAAGCTGTTGAGATTTATATATGCCGACTAACATCTTTATATACACTAAAAATGTAGTTAAGATAGTGACAGAATCGTAATTTAACGGAAAAAAAGATTAGTTGCCAGGATGGATGGACTATGGAGTAATAATGTACATTTATTGGATATAAATAGCCGAAATTTTATCCACGATATCAAGAAAGCTGAGATAATTATTGATATATTAGGGCATGTAAATTTAATTCCAAAGTAAACAAAAAAAATTCAAATTATGAATGGATATAATAAAATACATAGTAGCAACTTATTGAATTACTGTCTATAGGCCCCATTAATTCAACCAATTTAACATCAGAACCTATGTATAACTGATGGATTCATCCCAAATCAATTCAAAAAATTCGAGAGGCCGTACCAAACTAAAGAAGCCTAATTAAAACCTCCAATGTCAAAATAAAGAATTTTAAATTTTGGCTAATACCTGAGTGCGACTAGGGGTTACCGGAAGGTGGGCGTCAAGCAGAAACAGATGGTGGGCAGACGGTGATGCTCGTGGCGGCTTTTGTGTTGCGGAGTGGTTGGCGCTTGTGTGGCTGGAAGTGGGGCACAAAAGGCAGGCGTCAGGGAGGCACCGAGTTGGAGACGGGGAGCTTGAGACTTGGCCACCGACGAGTGGAGGCAAATCGGTCGCCGAGTTAGAGAAGATAAGGGGTAGTTGTGTCTTTTAATTTGTTTTTTCTCCTAAAGCTAATTCAAAACGCTCCTCTACCCAGCGTTTTCATTTTTAGCGGATTTGATAAAAAAGTTAATTTAAAAAGCTAGTTACCGAACATCATTTTTAGTTGGGTAAGAAAAAGTCAAAAACGCTAAAGTCCAAAACACTGAAATTTGGCAAAAAGTCATTAAACAAACAAGGTCATTATTGTAGAATCTATATATATATATATATTTATATATATATATATAAAGATGAGCAACAAAGCATTTAATTTTATTACCATGCATTAAATTTTATTCTCCCTCCAAAATTTTCAGCATTCAATTTCATTTTTAAGTTACAAAATAACTTGCTTGAATGCCACAAATTATGAAAATAAACCAATCAAGGGAGTTACAAAATTATACTCAAATTTTAAGTCACACTCACTCATGAAAATGGCCGGGTGTATTAGCATAAAGAAAATAGTTGTAACGGCTCTTCCATAGCAATTACTTGATCAAAATCAATTTTGAGAATTATTTTCTTAATTCATATTTTTTTTCATGAATTAAATTATGATTTATTTTTGTTTTTTTTTTTATATTTTTATGTTTTTAAAGTATTCGTCTTTGTGCCAATACACAGGTTGATTACTAGTTTACATAAAAGTATAAAACGAACAATTCATCCGTTAAAATTGATGTCTAAAGTGCTTCTGATGGAGACGAGCTCGCAATAGCTTTTTTGGACAAATACGATCGGCTCCGGGTTTAAGCCGTTTATTATTATTCTACTTTATATATTATTTCCATCTTTATTTTGGGTAATTAAATATATATCTTGCAATATGTTAGGCAAGATACTAGCAGTAGGACTCTTTCATTTATTTATCTGCCAAGCATCAAACGTGAAACACAGATTATTGTGAATTGAAATAAAGTTGTCGTTCGTTCTTGAGAGAGTATCTCATCTTCTTTGAGAGAGAATCTCATTTTATTCTCAATCGTACTACGCCCTACATCAGTTGGTATCCAGAGACCAGCGACGATCCACGATGCCGCCAAAGAGAGATAACACCGATGATCGTTTCCAACGAATGGAAAGAGCGATTCCAAGGCATGGATGAACGATTTACGGACCTCTCGTCCAGGATTGAGGAGATTCGCCCGGCTATGAACACCATGATGGAGGAGAATCGTGCGAGACGCGACGGCGGCGACCGGGGCGGGTGCGGTGGGCTTCGCGGAGGCCGTGGAGGGCGTGGCTATGGCGGGGCGCCCCGCGCTGACGCTCGCCAGGGACTCCGTCCGGCGCGGAAGATGAGGAGGACACGGCCAGCGAGGTGAATCCGGTCGCTGGAGGACAGCGACGGCGGCCGGCTGAGGACAAGTTCTTCCGGCAGAGGGACGACGGAGGCGGGCGTTTTGCTCGCGGCGGTGGTGGAGGTGATTTCAGGCGCCGTGAGGTTCGCTATCCGCGTGCCCGAGAGTACGAAGATGACGAGAATGATTGGAGGTATCCTCGACAAGGGTTTGGGGATGGCAGTCCGCATTTCGAGGATGATGAAAACTGGGAGTTCGAACATCAGAGGCGAGCTTGGGCCCGTGATCGTGAGGGGTTTGTGCGCTTGGGGATGAACCAACGTGACGGCAGGCGTCCGATAGAAGGGTGCGATGAGTCGCGTTGGGAGCAGGAGTTTCGTGTGGAGATTCCCGAGTTTACAGGCAGCGTGGATGGTTCGGAATTTTTTGACTGGTGGGCTGCGGTGGAGGCCGCCCTTCGGTTTAAAGGAGTGCCCGAGGATAGACGTGTTGCTCTGGTCGCCACTCGTTTTCGTAGCCGGGCAGCAACATGGTGGATGCAACTCTCGAGCCTGCGGCATCATCAATGGAAGCCAGAATTATCATCTTGGATGAAGTTTCATAAGTATGTAGAGCGTGAGTTCGTACCATTCAACTACGATAGTCTTGTGTATCAACAATTGCAAAACTTGCGACAGGGATCTCGTTCGGTGGATGAATACACGAACGAGTTTTATCGTCTCCTGACTCGTGTGTAGTTACGGGAGACCAAGAATCAGTTGGTGTCCCGTTATGTCGCCGGGTTACGTCCGTCGTTACGTGATACGTTGAACCTCTTCCGGCCGGATTCGATATCGGATGCTCACCAACGGCCCATCCTCGTGGAGTTGCAGGCTGGCCCGGGCTTCTTGTCTTCCTCACGACAAGGGACAACTTCGGGTGCGGGTGTTCCGGATGGACGTTCGGGTCCTGTTGCGAGTCAAGGTGCTGTCGCGAGCCACTTTCCGGCAGGCGGTGGGGGTCAGTAGCGTCCGGGAGGAGCTGGCGGACCACAACAGTCGACGGCCGCTGCACGGACAGTGGCCGGGTTGTGATGTTTCGGCTACGGCGAGGTGGGGCATAGGCAAGCTGTATGTCCACGGGTTGCCGGATCGCGAGCTTTGTTCACCGATGAATCAGCGGAATTTTCTGCAGCCGCAGCATATGATGGCCCTCCAATTTTCGATAAAGAGCTGGAGATTCTTGAGGTGCATGTCTCGAAAGACGTGGGTCACGCGCTTGTCCTTCATCGCTCTCTTTTGTCCCCGCCCGTCACTTCCACTGACGAGGGACTACGTCGGCGTCTTTTTGAATCTACGTGCACTGTGGGTGGTAGGGTATGCCGTTATGTTATTGATTCTGGGTCCTGCGAAAACGTAATCTCTGTTGATGCCGTGGCAAAGCTTGGGTTGTCGACGGAGCAGCATCCAGCTCCTTATGCGCTCGCATGGATACAGCGTGACAACGCTGTCCCTGTTGACCGACAAGTGTTGGTGTCTTTCTCCATTGGTTCTGCATATAAGGATGAGGTGTGGTGTGATGTCGTGCCAATGGATGATTGGCACCTTCTCTTAGGGCGTCCTTGGCAGTTTGATCCTGTCGTGTTGCATAATGGGTGCCTTAACACCTATGCATTCCTGTTTGGGGGCACCCGCTTTGTTTTACATCCCTCGGCCCCCTGTTCGGTTCCTTGGCCACCGCTGTCGACGACCTTCTTCCTTTCTCGCGTCGAAGCATGTGAGGAGATGTTCGATTCGTTGGTCGACCGTTCGATGGTGTTTGATGTGGGCGACTTTGTGTGGGTTGTTTCCAAAACAGACGGTCGGATCGACCCCTACGAGATTGTCGACCACCTTAGTCCGGATGCCTACCGTCTCTGTTTGCCTTCGCATGTGTGTTTGCCGGATGTTTTCCATGTGACACAGTTGGCCCCTTTGCAACTCGACGACTCCGACGGAGACGAGCTCGGTTTGGATCGAGGGCGAATCCTTCTCAACTGGGGGAGGATGATGGAGACGAGCTCGCAATAGCTTTTCTGGACAAATACGATCGGCTCCGGGTTTAAGCCGTTTATTATTATTCTACTTTACAGATTATTTCCATCTTTATTTTGGGTAATTAAATAAATATCTTGCAATATGTTAGGCGAGATACTAGCAGTAGGACTCTTTCATTTATTTATCTGCCAAGCATCAAACGTGAAAGACAAATTATTGTGAATTGAAATAAGGTTGTCGTTCGTGTTTGAGAGAGTATCTCATTTTATTCTCAATCGTACTACGGCCTACATCTTCAGCTTCTCTCTTTTCCCTATGATATTATGATATGTATTAATTTTGTGTAAGACAGCTTAAAGATTAGACGAATTGATCATTATACTATTAATATGTCATAAAGAACTCAGTTTTGAACAGGAGTTCTTATAGCTCGGCTCTGAACCGAAGCTCCTTTAACTCGACTCAAATCGATAAACAATCTTAAGTTTGACTCCTTAATGAGTCTTAACAAGTCAATATCTATTGAAAGTAAAATATTACATAAAATTCCTTTTTATCAAATCTAACCAACCTTGAGTAAGCTCCAGCTGAGCCAAACAAAGCTTATGAAACTCGTTTCATTATTGCTACATGTTTATCTTTATTTCCAATAATGGTTTTTATATTGAATTTTCTAANAAGGGGAAAATTGAGAAATAACAATATGGCAATTTACATACAATCTCCACGTCTCTAGCCCTCACCAACTTAAATCATACTATACCAATCTTCACCTCCAGCACCCAATCAAACCAACAGACGTTTTTTTTAAAAAAAAAAAATAAAAAATAAAGGAAAACTTGGATCCAAAATACTTGTTTAGGGCAGTTGGGTACCACTCGAATTGTCTCGAAAAGCTTTGTGCTCACCTCCGCCATTTCCGGTCTGAAAACAGAGATCGAAGACCACATTATAAATAAATGACAAGTCAAGTATAACATAGAAACTTATAAGTTGCTGGCTGAACATGTAGGAACCTAACATAATATGTCACAATTTTCAGTAACAGGTAACTGACAGCAGATTGTACTTGACGTGCCACACAAATGATTAAAGATTATCCAACGCGTAATCTTACATCATTATCATAGCCGTTGAAGTTCTGATAAATTAACACCTTTATTAAGTAAATAAATTGACTATAATCTTTACATCCATACTAAAACCTTTATAACGATTTTCAAACTATAATAATCCAACAGACATTACCAATTTCAGCAAGAGAACTCATTCAAACACGATATCCAGCGATCAAAAACCAATTGATACGACCATCTACCAAGGCAAAACTATAACATAGCACGAAAAAAAGAAAAAAGTAAATAAATCACATCATACCTTGAGGAGAATGTGTTGCAGCAGTTCCCTTTGTGTTCTGCTGTGCCTGAGACAGAGACCTTTGAATCCGAGGAGATCCTTGCCTCTCGTTCGAACCCGGTAAAGAATGCCTCTTTTTTCCGTAAATATCCTTGTCGTGTAAATCTGGGCTCGATCTTGGAGACCCATTCACAATAATAGCCTTGGCCCTTGCAGACTCAGTTGCCTGCATGTAACTCGGGAGAGAGTTACTGCTGCTACTATCTCTCGGCTCCTGCTCTTTGTCTTCAGGCTTACCGCCTGAGCCGAACGAGTTTCGCCTCTTTCCTGATTTAGTTTCCTTTAGCTGCTCCAAACCAATTTTCAAACCAGAATCTTGGTTGTGGTTCTTATCAGCTGATGACTTTTTCTTACCCTTTTTTTTCTTGGGTTTGGCAGACGACACCTGGCTACCAGGAGTTGCTTGGAAATCGGGGAAATTTATTTGGCTCCTTGGAGAAGCTTCGGATTCGACCTCCAGCTGTAGGTCACTCGGCTTAACTTCTTCTTGCTTTTTCTCTACACTCGGGTAGTCTTCAACATTGGTGGAATAATCAAGGGACTCGACAGCAGCTGAGGTGGCGCTTTCCTGTATCATCGAACCATTTGTGTCGGTATATGATAAGTCGGCTTCCACTGCGGCTGGCTTTTTATCATCATCAGCTTCGGTTTCTAAATTCTCTTCGGTTATAAAATGTTCGGTCACTTTCGTTTCCTGTTCGATCTCGTTGGGCCCAGCCTCTGACCTGTCAGGTGAGTCGAGGGTAGAAGAAATGGATAGTTCGGTCCCACATTCAGAGTCAATCAGGAACGCTGATGTGGCAGCAGATATTACGGTGGTGGTGTTGTCAGGTAACCCATTTCCTGTAGATTTGAATGGTTGATCAGTCTCGACTGAAGGGGCTAATTTTGCAGAAGTCAGTTCTTCGAATTTCGATTGTGCCGCGACAAAAGCAGGATTGCTCGTTTTCCTCGACAGCTTTTTTGACTCGGATTCAGTCTGCTCGTCTTCAGTTTTTTCGTCCTTTTGGGGAAGAGATTTCGCTTCAACCACCTCAATGAAATCTGTCTCTTTCGTCTCGACAGAAGCAGATTCTGCTGTTTCAGTTGTCGAGTTTAGTTCAACGACTTCATGCATATCAGAGAGGCTGGATGAAAACGATAAGGATTTGGTCGAGTGGAGATCCAAGTTGGTTGAGTCACAACTGATCAGATTATTTTCAGCCGATGCAGCCAAAGTAGATTTCATGTCTTTGAACTCAGCATGAGAATCACTACTCAGAATTAAAACATCTTCTTGGCCATCAGAAAGCTCAAGATTATTCTCCTCAGGCAGATCATCCTCAGTTGATGAGGCAGACATCCATCTTTCGAACCATTTCCAGGCGGAGTCAGATCTCAAAGGGTCACACTTGATGTTAATGGGTTTTTCCCTCGGTGTTGACTCGATAAGCTGAAAAATTGTATTTTGGCAGACACATTAAGATCTGAATTTTGGTTGTCACCATTTCTAATCAGAACACCGAAATATAAAGTAAGGATCTATTTACCTGACGTGCGAAAGCATTTGTGAGTAGCTTCTCAATGGAAACATAAGTGTGTGTAGTGTTTGGTTTGGCTTCTCTCTTCTTCCCCTGAAAGCAAAGAGATGAAATGACATCAGAATCACTGAGTATC